CCCCCTCCCCCCCCCCCGCGCCCGGCCGCCCTCTGTTGCCCCCTGCTGCCCTCTGCCGGCCGCAGCCGGAGGCACAGCCTCAGGAGGCCCAGGACAGCCAGCCCGGCTGGGACGGTCGCCCCCTCCCCCTGGTAAAGACGAGGAAACAGATTCACCCAGAGGAAGAGATTGCCCAGGGCAGCCCAGGATTGATGGCAGTTCTGAGATAAGGAACTTCTGCCTTGTGAGACTGGGGGTCCTCGAAATCGGGGACCGAATGGAGGAAGAAAGAAGGTGGCAGGTTCTATTCCTGAAAGGACCCCAGAGTCCCAGGGACAGAGCTAGGACCACGACTTGGTGGTATCCAGACTCCTACGACAGCCAGTACCATAACCGCAATCAGCAAAATGACCGCACCCCCGATTCAGAGCACCCTGGAGAACGTGGTGGGTGGGCCTGTTAAATGTTGGCCCTCCTCCCCCCACCCCCGCCGCCCCCGTCACTCAGAAATGGGAGCTTCACACCCCCGCCCTGGGTCAACCAGACTCCCTGGGATCTCACAGTGGAGCGCAGACCTGCGCAAACACCCAGGCGATTCTCACACCCACAGCCCAGGTTCAGCCCTGGGACTGGAACTTCCCGGTGCCTCAACCCGTTCACGGGCAAGCGGATGGGGCGCTCTCTCACTGGTGCACAACACACTCCGCCACACTTCCACACTTACCCAGCCCACACCCACGCTCATCTCACGTGCAGGCACAGCCGTGCTCCCACAAACACACCCACGGATGCCTGGACTCGGGTGCACTCGGTGTCCACACACGCAGACGCACGCTCACGGGTGCCTACACAATCCAGATGCACACTATGCCGGCCAGACCCCCCTCAACGTGCACAGCGCGCGCGCACGGACGTCGTGTGCACTCACTCCCCACGTACGCACCCCAAGTGCATACACTTGCACGCGCACATCCTCACTGTGCACAGCTGTCTGCGAGTGCCTACCGCTCGCGTACACACACGCACTCACCCCCCACGCGTGCACCCTCCTCCCCACACGAGCGCGCCTTTACGCATTCACACCAGTACTCCCAAACGCTCCTGGAGCTCCCAGCACTTACTGGGTCCCTAAGCGCGGGGCTGACGGGTCGGTCCTTCCTCCGGCGCCTAAAGGCATTTGTATTCATGGGTCCCCGCAGCCCCGGGCGCGGGCTCAGGGGCTGGGGGCGAGGTCCCCTTCCCTAAACGGGGCGCTGGCGCGCAGAGCGCAGTGGCACCGGGAGGGGCATCGGCCCACGGGACTGCGCCGCCAGACCGGGTCAGCCTGCGCCCGAACCTCGACCGCTCTGCGTCCTCCGGCTGCCGCAAGGGTTCTTGGCGCGGGGGGCGGCTCATAGGTGCTGGGGCCCTGGCGCCCGCCCGGCCTTTTGAAGTCTCCGCTGGGGGCGGGGAGGGGGCGCTGAAGGCGGCCTTTTAAACCGTGGCTGCACGCGGGCTCAGTCGAGCAAGGTGTCTGGTTTCAGCAAACTTTAGGAAAAGTCCCAAGCCAGAGCGGGGGTGGGGGGAGCTGCATAGCTGTGCGCTGCTTCCTGCAGGGGGCAGAGCTCCCATGGTGGCCGGGAGAGAGGCCTGGCGTGGTCCTGGGGAAGCGGTGAGCGGCTGCATGGCGCGGAACCTCCACTTTCACTCCCGCATCCCCACCTTGAACCGTTGTCCTTCTTGTGGACGAACCCCACGACTCCCAAGAACACCTCAAAACCCTGCGCGGTTATGCATGTTCATGCATTCTTCTGGGGAGAGGGAGACGAGGATTTTCGGAAATCCACGGTCCCTGAAGGTTGAAAACTCCCTGTCCAATTGCAGCTGCTGTTTTTTCGAACTTCATACTTGGTGCCAGGCGGATCCTGTCTTTATTTACATTTTAGATGTTTTATTTGTAGTAGATTTTGTGCATTTATTTTGATACTTCTGAAATGTTGCATTACAATATTACCTATCTTGACTCCTTAGAAGTCTTTAGCACAAGCTTCCCCCCCCCATATGTATCACCACTATTGGTTTTTCTGGGTGTCCCCTCTTATTCTGAGCCTTCACTTGCCTTCTCCCAGGTCAGGTTTGACCTGCCCTGTGCTAAGTACTACCCTTTGCAGATGAGATTGCTGAGATAAGCTGGTAGGTGGTGGAGGTGGGATTTGAACCCAGGTAGCCTGACTCCTATTCTCTGCACTTGGCAGGATGATCCAAATCTTAGCCTTTAAGGGGTTCTGTGCAGATCCTGCTGGCCTCCCACGCTCATTTTCTACCCCCTGAGTTCCAACTTGGCTGATGCCTGCACCCAGCCCTAGGCAAGCTTGGCTGCAAGGAGACCTTATCGATATTGTCCCTTCCCAGGCTGTCCCCCTGATCCCTGCCTGCCTGTTCACTACCACTTTGTTCTAGGTGCAGTTCGAAGTTCGCCTGACTGCTTCGCTGCCCTGTCCCACACTCAGGTTGCTGCACACATTAACTGGTGTTGTCATCGTCAGAGCAACCTGTGTCCCCACACCCAGCATGGGCATGGAACACAACAGATGCTCAAACCATTGGTCATTTTTAAAAATGTATTTAATTAATTAATTTATTTATTTTATTCTGCCAGCAGGGCACATGCACTCACTGGAGAGAGAGTGAGAAAGTGAGAAAAGCATCCCCAGGGGGGCAAGGTCATGCTGCAATCCCTTCTCCTTCATCTCTCCCTCCCTTTGGGATTTTGGGCACACACACAAACACATACACACACACACACGCCTGTTGTATTTTTCAAACCTTCTGATCCGGGACTCAAACCATGCTGTTAACCGTATGGAGTCCAGTTGCCTTAACCACCATGCCACAGGCTGACCCAAAAGTTTATATTTTAAAAACTCCTGCAATATGCAACCCTCCGTAAAAGGCTCTGGTGGAAGAGAGGCTGCCGGGACACAACTGGGGACAAAGAAATTTGCATGTGATCCTGCCTTCTGGGCTTGTACACACTGGTGATGTGGACGGAAGACATACACAGCAGCTTGGGCTAGAAGAGCCCACCCAGGTCCCTCTGTCTGAGACCCCAGTACCCCCATGCCGTGGGGAAGTCCCCCACTGCATGGAGGAGCACACGGAGAGTGTGACAGATGCTATCAAAGAGCTAGGAGCCACTGACTCGTCCAGTAGACCAAGGGATGGAGAGAAACCAAGAAAGGCTGGGGACAGGGAAGGTGGCATCTGGATCCTCAAGGGCATGTTGGATAAATGTGCAGACAAGGAGCCAGGACATCTCCAGCAGAAGAGTCACATGAAGGACAGGAGGGTGGGGATGGACTCAGGCAGGTCTTGAAGGAGGAGCACAAGGAACCCAGGGAGAGACTGGGCTGTGTGTGTGACACGGCACGACTCACTGGCCACAAAGCCATTTCCAGGCAAGGCGATGCATTTCCTCAACGGTCAGGCGGGGGCCGTGGCCGAGCCCCAAGGCCTTTCCAAACTCTCATCCACACATGTGAATGTGCAATGATCAGCCAGGGAGGCCTGATCCCCTGAGCAGCTCAGAAGACCCACGGGGAACCCCTAAAGAACCCAGAAGGACTAAGGGCATCCCTCCCAGAGTCTCACTCTCTCATCCATAAAATAGATGCATCTACCACGACCATCTGTGTGGGCCCCTTGAATTGGGGAGTATGAAGCCATAGTCAGCCGTAAACCCAACGTGGCACCTGAGTATCGAGGGCGGACTGCATGTCGCTAATTTGGAAGGGAAACGAGGCACGTGGCATTCCAGGAGCACAGGGTCAGCTGGAAGGAGGAGACATGGACACTGATAAGAACTCCCCAGAACGGTCCCGTTTCCTGCCTCCGCTGCCTCTTCACACCCAGTCTTTGTGCCAAGTAGGTTCCTGGCACAGAGCCAGTGGCTGGGCATGAGCAGTTCTGACAGAAGTTGGATCTGGGAGACACCAAGCCATTGCCCGCCCTGTGAAGGGGGCAGAGCATTCGCTAGCCAACCCTGGGAGGCCACTCTGTGGAGCAGAGGGCAAGAGGCCTGGAACTAGTAGGCAGTGACTACCAGGCCAACATGGATGTGTCAGGGTGAGGCAGAATGCTGGCAATCCCTGGCCCGGTGAGGACTTGCAGGGACCACATAGCGGGCTCCCTGTAGGAGTAGGTCTGCCATGAACCCCTTGCTCTTTGAGGCAACTCTGCCTTCAGTAGCTTCAATGATGGACACATAGTATGTGCTCAGTAAATGCTTGCTTATGAACCACCAGTTGAAGTGGTAACCTGCAGGACAGAGGCTTCCTACTGCCCCAGGTATCAACCCACATCGATGTACCCATCAAGCTTTTTTTGAGGACCCACTGTGCGCCAGGCAAGGCTGTCGTCTAAGGAAGGAGGCCAGTGAGGAGATACATGAACAGATAATGCAGACCAGGAAGTCCTGCTTCAAAGCTTGTTTAACTGGTTCTGCAGAACTAGGAGGAGAACCAGGGTCCCACATACTCATCCTTCGATCTTCCCAACACCTTATACTGCTGGGCAGGCCAGGGTGGGGCTTTCTCTTGCCCTCGGGCTCCAGCCAGCATGGAGCATAATATACACACCATCCGCATCTAGTAAGAGTCAGTTCTGCTCACTCAGCCAATAGGAGAATTCTGCTATGCGTCAGGCCCTGAGCTGGACGCGGGACTCGGGCAAGTCCAAGCTGTGGTCCCTGCTGGGAGACGTTGCCATGGTGACTTTCTGACACCAGCACAAAGCACAATGCCTGGCACGTGGGAGGCAGCCCACGGATGCTGGGTGGATGGCAGAATGCATGAATGGGCACTCAATGAAGTCCAGGGCACCAGGTCAGACAGGCCAGGCGAACGCCCCGTGCCCCTGCTCCCGCTCCTATGCGATGATCCTCCGCTATTCACAAGTGTGTGCTGGCATGTGCCGGATGGCACAGTCAGTTTGGGGTGCTGTAGGTACACCAATAAATGTAACACAAAGTGTCTGTCTGCATGAAAGAACAAAACTGCACAAATTACACATGGCATCTCCAGAAAGTTTATGGAGGATTGGAGGAAAAAGGATTGTGGCTGGACAAATCGCATTTGTGGAGCACTGGGTGGGGTGTGTGTATGTGTGTGTGTGTGTGTGCCACTGTGTCTGTCTGTCTCTCTCTCATGCTCTTGACTTCTGGCATTAAGAAAAATGTTCATAGAGGGGCTAGCATGGGATGTGATGGTTAAGGGCGCTGGACTCCCATAAGATTGACAGCAGTTCGAGTCCCAGACATGGCAGCTTGTTTTCTCACTTTCTCTCTCTCTCTCTCTTTCTCTCTCTCTCTCTCTCTTACTCCATCCCTCTTTGGTCAAATTAAAAACAAGCAAGCAAATAAATAAATAAGTTAAATAAAATAACTTTTTTTGGAGAGGTTTTTACTATAGGGCTCATATGCTCGCCAGAAAGAGACAGAGAGATAGAAAGCGAGAAATCACCCCCTTGGGGGAATGGCCACGCTGCAATCCCTTCTTCTCCTCTCAAGATCGTGGGCATGCATGCACATGTGCCCAGTGTGAGTTTAAGCCACCAGGTCCGGGACTCGAACCGCAGTCGACTACATGGGAGTTCAGCGATGTAATCATTATACCATCTGCTGATCCCTCAGCATTTATTGATAACAGTGAGGCTGCTGGTTTGTACCTGGTCTTGGTGAGGTCCCTGGAGGGCTCTGCCACTGGGCCTGGTTTCTCAGCAAGAATATCCATAACCAGTTGGGGACACCCATGGTAAGACTCTGGGGCACCCTGGTATTCTGTGCACTAGTCAGTGGTCCAGATCCAGGAGAGAGAGTACATCCAGTAAGGCCCTTCAAGGGGAGGGCAGTAGGAGCTCAGGGGCCTCTCCAGACCCCTTGCCGCGAGGCAGCCTTTGGCTATGAAGCAGATCCCCACTGAAGAGCAGTTGGTAGCTTGCACCCTTTTCTGCAATAGACTGTCATCGTGCGAGCTTCATCCTTTTGAGTCCTGGAAGTCCAAAGTGGGACTCTGTCTCCCCGCCATGCACAGTACAGGACCCTACCAAACCGCATGCACAGGAACACGGGGAGTGAAAGGCACATGCAGTCGCTGCTCCAATAGGGGGTCAGAGATGGGCCACTCACCTCCCTTCTCTCCTGGGTTGGGTAATTCATTTATATTAAGCAGTTCTTTGTTTTGTTTTCTCCATGGTTTCTGCAGTTTTTCAACCAGATTCTTACTGGGGTGTGTCTCAGCTATCGTGAGATGTAGGAGAGGCTGTGATTCTATATAAACCCCACGCCTGCCCAGCACCTGAGGGAGGCTACCAGCTGCAGCCAACTCGATGGATCTGGGCACACGTCACAGTTCCACATGAGCTGCGGACCTTGGCCACGCCCATCGCGCTCTAAGCCTGTTTTCCCCATCTGCGAAATCGAGGGGACGAGCATGCAGCCCCGTGGTGATTCTTCCTTTCTCCCAGCTCCATCAGTCCCTGTGAGGCGAGTCATCTGGCCGAATGCAGCTGCTGCTGGCTCCCTTGATGGCCTGTTGGTGCCAGGTGTGTGCACCCATGATCCTGTGCACCCATGGGCTGCCAAGGTTCGGGATGGGGGTGGGTTGTGGCATGAGACTCTGTGTACAGCACTCGTCTCTCTCTCCCCAAACAAAGAAACAGTAACATACATTACTCATCCTGATCACTGAGTTTGGGCCACCAAACTCAATTTTGCTTCTGAGATGGACGTTTCACTCACTCACTCTCGTCCTGGCCCTAACCGAACCCATATCACACTGTTGCCATGACCTTCGATGGAGCTGTCACCCTCAGTAGGCTGTGAAACCAGGGGACAGAAACTCAGTCCTGTGTTCCTCGGACTTGGCACGTCCTAGGTGCTCAGCAACCACTGTTCAGTGAGTGAGTGAACGGCAGACAAAGCCATTGCTCAATCATGCTGCCCATGAAAAAGACACGTGATAGAAAGCAGCCTTTGCTCTTTTTATTTTTTAAGAGTTATTTTATTCCATTTTATTCATAATTACTCAATTTTTAAAAATTTGATCAGAGAGAGAGGGAAAGTAAGAACGTTGCCAGGTCCAGAACCCAACTCGTGGTCAGCCATGTGGGAGTTCCCTGCCACCACACCACCCGCCGGCCCCCTCTGCTTTTAACCAGGGATAGGCATTGAGTTCTTGAGTTTCAGCTCCTCTGAGACAACAAACGTGAGCTCTACTCTTGACCCATATGGGGCAGCTCCTGTGTGGCTATTTTCTGTCTCTCCTTTTTTTTCTAGAGAGATTTTTGCTATAGAGGGTGTGCGCTCACCAGAGACACAGTAAGGGAGAAATCACCCCCCAGGGGAATGGCCACACCACAATCCCTTCTGCTCCATTCTCCTCTTGGGATCTTGGGCACGCATGCTCATGCGCCCGGTGTGAGGTTTAAGCTGCCAGGTCCAGGACTCAAACCGCGGTCAACTACGTGGGAGTCCAGCTACGTAACCATTATGCCACCTGCTGGTCCCTCTCTCTTTTAACTAACTAATTTCTACTGTAAGAGAGAGGAGCACTCTCTTCACACCTCCACCTTTCCCAGCTTCAACTCTCCTAGATCATCAATACTCACACACACACACACACACACACACACACACATACGCACACCTGGCATGCTCAGGGACGTCCCAGTATACAAACGCAGGACCTTTCGCATGTGGTCCAGTTGCATTCCTGGTACCACTGCCTGTTCCTGGGCATTTTCACTAGGTGCTTCTAGCCTGAGGCAGCAACAAAGGGAAGCTAAGTCTGAAAAGTGGAGACTGCATCAGAACCAAGGTGGGAAGTCACAGAGACACAGACCTTCTGAGATCCCGGTCCCAGAGGCAGAAGAGTCCCTGTCTTGATATGTCCCAGGAGATTGCCCTCTGGCGGGGGCAACTGCAAGGAGATCCAAGCTCTAGACCCTTCGCAGCAACTTCCACCTGTGCGATTTGATGGTTGGCCTGCTGTCCAGGGGCACCAGGCCTTTGTCCTATGCCTGGCCCTTCTTCGCCCTGAGGCCCACCGAGAAGGAAGTCTCTGGAGATGGTGCGTTGCTGGCTTTCCTGGCATCTCTCTGGACTCCAGTCACGGTGGGAGTGGGTGTTAAGGGCTTGATTTCTATAATATTGGCCACCGACTCCCATTTTATTAAAACTAGATATGTATAGCATTTCATTTATAGATATTAAAAATTAAATGACAGGAGCCAGCAGGGGGCGACGTGACTTTGGCACTGCACTCCCACATAGGTAACTGTGGTTCAAGTCCCGGATCTGGAGACTTAAAACTCACCCTAGGTGTGTGCGTGCATGCCCAAAATTCAAAGAGGAGAATGAAGGAGAAGCGGTTGCGGCGTGGTAAACCCCTATGGAGGGTGATTTCTTTCTTTCTCTCTCTCTGTCTCTCTGTGTCTCCAGTAAGCACATACACCCTATAGCAAAAATCTCTCTCTAAAAATAATAATAAATGACAAAATTTCCCTGTTTGATGCCACTATGTTTTTAATTGACATGTAATGATTACACTTATTTATGGGATGCAGTGTGGTTTCTCAGCATTTAGCTTCTGTGACTTAAGCACTTGATGTATGCTGGGCCTATAGCAATGAGTTTTACATAGGTCTGCTCATTGACTGCTCATACAATTCTCACATATAAGCATTATACTACCCATTTTACAGGTGAGAAACTGAGGCTGGCAGCTCGCTCAAGGTCACGCAGCTGGTAACCGACTGAATTAAAACACTAACCTGAAACCATCTGACTCTCCAGTCGAAGTTCTCCTCCACCTCGACGCCAAGGCAACGAATTTCTAAGATGGACCCCTTTCTAGCTCTGGTGCTTGTGAGAGCCAAAACTAGGGGTGGGGATGGGCAGGTGCTGGGTCCTTCTGTGACCTAGCCTTGCCAATGGCTTCAAGCGTATTTTGGGTCTTCCAGTCCAACCACCACAGAAACCCTCTCATCCTTGTCCACTTCCCACCCCATCCGCCTCTCCAGTCCATCTCCAAAGGGGATTCAAATGCCCCCAAAATGGCCCTCCTCAACTCAAAGATACTCATAAATGCTGACGGGAGGGGCCAGGAGGAGGATGGTCAGGAAGGAGTCACGTCACCTTCCATGGCCAGACTAAGCACACAGGGTCCCTGTCACCCAGGGGGAGAGGGCAGCTGCTTTTCCCATTCCCATCGTAAAGGCTGCATCGTCCAGTGAGGTAGCCACCAGCCCATGAGTCTCCTTGCACTTAAATCCCCTATATTTGAAAAATTAAAAAAAACAAAAAGTATAGGCCAGCAGGTGGTGTCGTGGTTAAGGCACTGGATTCCCACATGGCCGACTGCGGTTCAAGTCTCAAACCCAGCAGCCTAAAAATCATGCCAGGCACATGTGCATGCATGACCAAAATCCCAAGAAGAGAATGGAGGAGAAGGGACTGGTGTGTGGCCAATTCCCCTGCAAGATGATTTGTCACTTTCCCCCTCTCTGTCTCTCTCTAGATCTCCAGTGAGCACATATCCTATAGCCAGAAAAAGGAGAGGTACACAGTGACGTTCTTCAAGTGCTCTGTGGCCCTAGGTGGCTGGCCGCTACCGTGCACGGTGGAGCAGATACAGCGCACTTCCGTCCTCGCAGAGAGCTCTCTGGATCACACTGCCTGCGGAAGAATGGGGACTTGGAACGACTTGGCCAGAGTCACACAGTGAGTTGTAAACAGAGCTGGGATGGGACCCGCATTTCTTGCTTCTAAAGCCTCTGCTCCCAGCACTTGGAACATATTTGCCACCGCCTGGCCCCAGAACAAGGAGAATTGTTTGCCTGGGATGGTAAGTCTACTTGGGAAACCAAATAGACATCAGAAGACTGTGGGTGAATACCCAAGTGGAGAAAAGGAGCCAGCTGTTCTTGAGGATTATTTTTATCCTGCCCAGATATCCTGGTGAGCTGCTTCCCTCCCCACCCCCACCCCCCCAGCTATTTTTATCTCAACAGCCGGAACCAGAATACTGTCTCCCTCGGGTGATGCACTGAGGGATCCACTGACACATTGTCATTTTAGCATCAGGATCTCTCACTTGCTTAACAGTTTCCAGGAAGGGTCCATAGCCTTTGGTGAATGCCATTGGCATGCTAGTTCCTGAGCCGCCAGGGTGCACGGGGGAGGCAGGTCCCAAATTACAGATAGGGAAACTGAGGCTTCTGTGGGCGTGGTGCGCTGTTTCAACAGCTCGAATGTGGCAGAGCTGGGAGTTAAGCTCAGGCTCAGACAGGTCCCTCCTTGCAGGGTAGGGGGTCGTCTGTCTAGTGATGGAAAACAGCCTGACTTTCTGGCTGAGCCCCACATCACCCTCTCTGTCTGAGCTGGCACCTTGTTCTGAAATCTTTGAGTTTCTCTTCCCTGGTCCATAATACAGGGAATTTTCATCTTGTGTGCTTCACAGTCTTACCGGGAGTCTGGCCAATGGAAAAGCTTTCAGTAACTTGGAAAACACCCAAAACCCAGCAAAGACTTGATCACCGTCACCATCATCATCATCTGCAAGATCTATAATTGTACGCTGTCCCCACCCCGCCCCCTCCTCAGGCCTCAGTTTCCCTGCCTGAAACCTGAGCGGCTTGGCCTGGAGACTCTCCATGGGGCCTTCCTTCCAGCTCCGGTTTGCCATTTCTATGACCCATTCATTCAGTCAACAAGTGTTTATTGAGTTGAGCAGCTTGACACGGTGGGGAAAGGAAGGGCTGCTCCTCCAGAAGGCTCTCTGTCCAGGCTGCTTCAGCCACATACGCAAATTTCCTTGTGTTTTCAAAAGGCAAATTATGGGAAACATGTTATTCACCAAAACATGCTCGCCTCATCTCTCAGAGAAGAGAAGAAAAAAGAAAAAAAATCCCTCCACCCCCACCAAGAAGTAAGCTAACAGAGGACAGAAACCCACCCTTGTTCCTCCGGGCGACTTTCCAGAGGCTCACGTCCCTGCTGAAAAGGGGAAACTGTATACGGCAGGGTTCTCTGGGGCTTCTGCAGACCTGGTAAACAGCCTGTGTTTGTCCCAGCTCCCGCCATCCTGAGAGGTCAGCCATGCCAGGGGGAAAAAAACAGCCCCGTTCTGTGCCCGGCCTGTCCCCGGAGTGAGGAAAATAGTCCATAAATATTTTTATCTTCATGGTCACCAATGGAGCTGAGAGGAAAGCTTTGATTCTCCAAGCCCTAGAGCATTCCCTCCCTCTGGGGACCCGGTGGTCAAAGCTGACCTGGATGTCCCATCTCCCACCCCCAAATTATAGGCTGTTACCCACGTCGCCTGCCCCAGGAGGTGGTGGGATCAGAGGTGGGACCACACTGTCCCACCATGGCCAGCCTCAGGGCTGTTGGAGCAGCCTCTTCCAGCCAACTGGTTTCCTGCCGGGAGCTGGGTGGTCATGGAGGAAGGAGAGATGGCTCTGGGGGTGAGGAGAGGGCCCCAGGACTGAAGCAGAGGGAGGCCTGAGGGTCTCCATCTGGATCTCACATTGCCTTGTTCATCAGGGACACGTGGAGGAGTCCCGAGAGCCTCGTTGACCTGGGAGGTGGTTTATGGTGAAGCAGCTCCTTGGAGACCTGCTGACTTTCAAAACCCAAAGAGACATCAGTGGGATTTTAGTGACAGCCACCAACAGAGACAGGGTCCCGAACTCCTAACGTCATCGCACACAGAACCCTCCTGTGTGCTAAGCCTCCTTGCTGCCATCTCCTTGCCCTCTGCTACCTTCTGGAAACTTCTAGAAGGGAATGCTGCATCAGGGTGTCGCTCAGACTTAAGCCTTCCAAAGTTCATCCAAGGGCAAGATTCTATGGTACTGTGGTTCCTAGATCACTTGAGCCATAAACGTTTATGCCAAAAGTGCTGGACTTTAATTCCTTTCGATGCCAGAGCCCAAGGCTCTAAAATCCTGGAATCCTACCTGGCACGGACTCCAGCGTCTACGATTCCACGCTTCTGAGGCTAAGACTGCTGCGATCCCTCCTGCTTGGGACCTATTTCAGGGCAGACCAGGACCTCACACAAGGGGGCATTCATTCCCAGCAGGGACTCTGGGCAGAGGAGCCCCTGAAGCCGCTTACCGCTCCTCTATCTGTGATGGGCAGCATTCCACGGTTCACGACTCTCAGCACCCTGCTCGCCTTCTGACCTTTTCCTGGCCATATGCTTCGCTTGTCCTCCATTTAATCCTGCCCAGCCCCACCCAGCCCGTGCTACCAGATATGGACAGGAGGCAATGGCAGCTAGCACCAGCACCCTGGCCGCCCTCTGCCAGCACTGTTCTCATGACACAGAGAGAGGGAGGGACACTCTAAATATGTGTCCTCGGGCAGAACGGTCCCCAGACACTCAGAATTGATGGTACTGGAGAAGCTGGGCTTGTCCTGTACCCAGTCCTAACTGATTTCACCCTGGTTGACTCGACCCAGCGCCAGAATGGCCCTATCTACGTGACTCAGAGTCCTTCCAGACTCAGTCACCCTTCCAGGGCTTCCCCTTGTTGGAAATCCCACTGCAGGAGACATTCCCTTGGGTGCAGGCCTCTGAGAAGACTCCATGTTAGTGGAGGACAGAGAAGGACCTTTCATTCTTCTCCCGTTGTCTTATACTCATGCCTTCAGCGTGAGTCCACAGCCCCGGGGGTCATGAGAGCGAGCCTTCCGTTCTTTTCTTTGAATGAACTGAAATCCTTTTTTCAGTCCTCCTATCACCACGCTGGTGGGAAGTACAGTCTCAGTCTTTCAGTCCTCCTATCACCACGCTGGTGGGAAATATAGTCTCAGAAATTAATATATTTTTTAAGAATAATTTAATTTAATTTATTTAATTTGCTATAGGGCTCACGTACTCCCTAGAGAGGCAGCGAGAAAGAGGGAAGGTGAGAAAGCAAGCCTGGGAGCTCGGACCACAGTTGGCCACATGGGAGTCTAGTGCCTTAACCACCGCCCACCTGCCACACCCCAGTCCCGGTCGTTACTGAGGCTCTCTTACACCCCCCTTCGCTGGTTATACAGTGCTGGAGTCTGAGGCAGAATCACACGCCTGGGAGGTCCCTGCTCTTCAGGTCCCATCTGCAGCCCTGGGATGCTCCTTGTGCCAGATGTCCCTCTGTTCAGTGGCATGGTGGCATGCTTCAGATGTAGGAAGCTTTCCTGAATCTGCAGCACCAGCGTGTTGGGTCCAGCCTGCCTAGGGACAGCATGGAGCACCCTCCAAAAACAAACAAACAAACAAACAAAAACTGTTCCCCTCTAAGCAAAGGACCTGCCAACTTTCATTCTCTCTGCTTCCAAGATCTTCCACCCCTTTCCCTCCCTTCAGGACCATCCTCTCCTCCCTGAGCTCACAACAGACTGAACACCAAGCAGCTCCAGCTCCCAGCTCTTCCCGAAATCCAGCAACCAGTGCCCCTCGAGGGCAGAGCCCTGGTTTGGATCGGGAATGGAGGGGGAAGCATACAGACCATAGTGCACAGTGCTCCTTACAGCGCATCGCCCATACACACTTCTTTGCACACGATCCTGGGAGATCCTGGGGACAGCTGCTTGGCTCCCTGATAACACAGGCAGGAAGTGGTCCCTGGACGAAGGGGGCCCAGCCTTGGGTGTTGTTTTTAGGCTCTGTGGGAAGGGGGGGTGTCCAGGCACTGGGGTCCTAATTCAAGCTGGGTATAGTGGTGTCCGGGGGCGGGGGCGGTTTGGAAAGGAAATGGGGCATTTGAGAAAGCCTGATTGGCTCAGTTCTTCCCATAGCTCTGTCTGCAGACACAGGAAGAGAGCTGATGATAAACTGCGGGCAGAGGGAGAGTCACCCTACCAACAGGGTCGCCCGCGGGGCAGAAAGCACAGTGTACACTCAGCGCCTGGACCTCTGGCCCGGGCCTGCCATGAGCCAGCAGGGGACAAGCACGTGTCTTCTCCATCTGGAGATATGAGCCTGTGGAGGTACAGTGCCCAGACTCCCCCCGAATCAGGAGGAGTCCCGATTACTGGTGCCCCCATATCTCAGCCTCACGTCTCTGCTGGTTTTCTAGCACCATCCTTGTCTTTCGTCGCCACTGAACCCTCCCACCACCTGAACAGAGCTGGCCAAGGGCTGTCGTCTGAAGTCACAGCTCAAGGATGGCTGCGGACAGCAGGCTGAAACACAAGCTTGGTTCCTCTTGTCCCAGATGCAGGGTTCAGGCAGGCACCCCCTTCCCTTATGCACACACAGGCACACACAGCCTGGCTTCTGGAAGAAGGGACATTGCCTGGCCAGGAGGCTAGACAGGAGGAGTGCTGCAGAGCCTCGAAGGCTGCCCCGAGGCACCCAGGCCCAGCCTAGCATGGCTTTGCCACCCCATCACAGTATCTCTAGGTCACCAGCCCATCACTAGTAGCCGAATCGTGCAGGATCAGGCTCAGCCGTGGGCAATTATGGGCAAGGAAGGAGAGAGAGACAGAGACCAAGAGATAGAGCTAAAGACAGAGAATGTGAGGTGGGCGCATGGACAGGAAGGGAACCGGGAACAGAAAGAGAGGAGGCAGAGCTGGGGAGAGAGTCGGACAAAAGAAGAAAGGAGAAGACAGAGAAAGAGAAGAGTAGTAGGGCCAGCTAGTGGCATGGAGGTTAACGTACTGGGCCCCACATGGCTGACTGCGATTCAAGTCCCGGACTCAGTGGCTTGAAAATCAGGCTGGACGTGTGAGCATGAGTGCACACAATCCTGAGGGGAGAATGGAGAAGGAATTGCAGCGTGGTCATTTCCCTAGAGAGTGTTTTGTCACTTTCTCTTTCTCTGTCTCCGATGAGAACATGTGCCCTTGAGCAAATTATATAAGAAAAGGAAAGAGCAAGACAGAATGGCACTGAGGGGGAGATGCCTTTAAGGAGAAGGAGCAATGCAGCATAGCCCAAGTAAGGAAGGGGCAGAGACCACGCACGTGTGCGCACACACAGACAGGCCAGGAGGGGAACTCGGACACCCGGGGATGGAGCTGCAGCCCGCTCAGGCTTCAGACGCTGAGAGTCTGCTCGGCCTGCACCGGTGCAAGGAGCTGGAGCATCACGCCCACAGGTGGGGATGCCCTTCCCTCCCGTGGGCTGACGGTGGCTGGGCCTGCTCTCCCTGCCTCTGGCTTCCTCCATGAGACCAGCCCCTTAGCCCCACCTTGGGCAGCTGACTAGCTGGAGGGCTGAGCAAAGGGGATCATGGGGTGACAAGACGACAGTATTTCTCCCCCACACGCTCCCTAATGCACACATGCTCTCTACATGACTTAAATAAACTACAAAAAAAAAAAAGGCTCCCCAGGATTGTTTTGATAATTAAATGGAAGGTGGTATGCAAACACTTGACCAGGCCTGCCAGGCACTAAGCCCTTGAAGCATGCTTGCCATTGTCACTGCCATCATTGCCATCACTACCATTGTCATCGTCATCATCAGGCCCACCACAGAGGGGGTGGAGGGTGGGGAGACCAGGCCTCAAGAGCCTTTCTTCTGCTTGGTGCTCTGGTCCTGCATGGTCACCTCCCAGGAGCTTCACGTCTATCTATCCAGCTCCCTTGGATCCTCCTCCGCTGTGCCTTGGACACATCATGCTCAATCTGTCCCAGACTAAACTGTCACCTCCCCACCCCCCAAACTTGGTGCCTCTCCAGCACCTCCCTCCCACTCCTGGCACCCCATCCCAGCCATTTCCCAAGCTGGAAACCCACAAGTCAGCCTAGATGCTCTCCCTTGCCATGAGAAGTTACCAGCCTCAAGGACTGCCTGTCCCCAAGGAGGGTAGACGCTATCTCAATTCTTCGTGTATTTTCCCTTTATTCATGATAACGCATAAAGCATGTGTGCATACACATGAACATAAGAGAGGGAGAGAGGTGACACCCTCTATGGGGTACTCATGCCACGATCCCCTTCCTACAGTCCTCCTACCCTTTGGATCTTGGGTGCTTACGCACATGCCCAACACGGCTTAGAGTGACTGGGCTGGGGATCCTAACCACCGTCACCATGTGGGCTCCAGCTTCTGAGCAGCACAGAGCTGGCTCATAATTATCCATATTTCTAATGACAAGGGCAGAGCCTGGAGTAGAGGGGATACTAGGTACATAGCTGCTAAATGAAGGAATGGGAAATTTCAAAAGGGAAGGACAAAATTTGCCTAAGAACACACAGAGCCTGGTGACACTGGAACTCAGACCCAGCTCCTTCTGTCCCAGGCTCCCATGCATGGAAGAGGCAGCAGGAGCTGCAGGGGCTCAGCCCAGGTAAACATCTGTCCCCAGACAGGGTCCTCTGAGTCTCTGGGAACCCCTTCCAGCCATTCCCCTTCCTCTGTCCAGCTGCCAAATGATGGATAGAGTGAGCAGCACCCACAGAGGCCCAAGGATGCTCAGGCTCTGCTGGGAAGCTGGCATCTGGCTTCCGGAGCTCCCACACTTGCTGAGTGGTCTGTCCAGGCACTGTGCACACAGCCGGCTCCCTGTGGGATGGAAGACTCTCCTTATCTCCTGGGGAAGACAGCCAGGAATCTCACCCTGAGTGAGCCTGAGGGCACTTCCCGTTACACAGGTGGGAAGATGGAGGTCTGAGGGCACCCCTTTGGTTAATGCAATGCTTTGTTAACCAGGTACCCTGAGGTCAGAAATAATAATAACTGCTATTTGTTTAGCCCCCCACCCTCCTACCCCTGCTGTAAATTTAGGGGCAACATGGCCTATACAGGCCAAACTACTCGCTCAAGGTCACACGGCTTCAAGGCCTGCCTGGAACACTGGAGAGTCCAGGCCCCTCACAGTCAGCGGTGACACAGCCCCCTCTCCCTGCACATTTGCCACTTGTCCTGGGGACCTGGGCACAGGTACCTGGGCAGTACTGGGGGCAGAGGCTCTCCTTTCCACAGCCCTCAGCAGCAGGCCCTCAAAGCCCCTTTCACGGGCCTGCTCCACACCCCACCGGGGAGGCCAGACAAAACTGCTAGTGTTGGGATTATTTTTCTATTTCCAGATGGATCCGTTTGCTGGCTCCAGCCAGGGCCTCCCATCACCGCGTGGGGGCCGGGGGGCCCAGCGCCAGGTTAATATTAGGAGGCAGCCGAAAAAAAGGCGGCCCAACGCAGCTCCTCAGCGTTCTGGGCTATTCCACCAGTGTTGCCTCTGAGGAATATTCTCGGGGCATTTGAGGGAGCCTGGCAGCCAGGCGGGCCACGAGGAAAAGAGAATATTCTTCTCTTTCTCTTTCTTTTTTTTTTTTTTTTTCCAAGGAAGCTCTTGAGTGTCTCATTTGGGGCTGGGGGCCAGAACAGAGTCCCCAGGTGCTCTGGGAAGCTAAGCTGGGCTTTCTATGTTTGCTGAGCCAAGGAGGATATTTTAAAATTAATTTTTTTAAATTGACACATAATAATCGTGTACTTGTGGGGTACGTTGTGATTTTTCAGGGCCCGTGTACGACATGTAGCGGCCAGCTCAGGGTAATTAGCACACTCATCAGCTCGGACGTTTGTCTTTATTTTGTGCTGGAAATATTCAAAATCCCCTCATTTAGCTCATCTGAAATGCCACTCATGGAAGCAGCATTTACTGAGCACCTCCTACTGTCAGATGATGACCGACACCACGCAGGGACGGTCTTCTACGCTGGCAGAGCCCACGATTAAGAACCAAGACAGACGCTCGTCAAGGAATAACAGACGCAAATAGCAACTGTAACTATTGGTACAGCCTATGAAAAGCAGGCTATATACAGATAATAACAGACATTGGATATACATTTTTTATTATTTTATTTAACTTCATTTATTTTAATTTGACCAGAAAGGAACAGGGAGAGAGAGAGAGAGAGAGAAAGCCACCAGGTCTAGACTCGAACCACAGTCAGCCATATGGGAGTCCAGTGTCCTTAACCACCATGCCACCTGCCAGCCCCGGATATACATATTTTTAAAGCACCAAACCTAACTCCTTTTTTTTTTTCTTTTTGTCAGAGACTAGAGAGAGACAGAGACAGAGGATGGGGAGAATGATGGTCATGCCACAATCCTTTCTCCTACGTTTCTCCATGTTGTCGGGACTTGGGGCACATACATACGTGTCTAACCCGATTTTCAGGCCACCAGCGCTGGGATTTAAACCCCTTGGATGGTCATGCAGGATTTGGCTACCCTAAACTACCCCGTAAGGCCAGCCTGCTTTTTTTTTTTTTTTTTTTTTTTTAATTTTTTGCCATAGATCATGTGCACTCACTGGAGAGAGACGGGGCACGGGGGTGGGGAGAGACAAAGTGAGAATTTACCCCCCAAGGGGATGGCCACACCGCCTTCTCTTCTCCGCTATTCTCCTCTTAGGAATTTGTGCAAGCACGCATGTGAGCCCAGCGTGATTGTCAAGCCACCGTATCCAGGGCTCACGTTGTGGTCGGCCAGGTAGACTACAGCACCTTAAACACCATGCCACCAGCTGGCGCCCCCTGACTGACTCATTTTTAAGAAAAGAAAAACAGGAAGGACAGTGACTCTCAGGTATGCAGCAAGGATGCAGAGCCAGAGCCGTGCCCATGGCAGAACCACAGGGGCCGTGGCACGATTCGTCAGCTTTGCCTTTGATCTTGGGGGAATCCGAACACGGGTCTGGGGAACTCCTTGATGGCACCGACTGAAGCCAAGCGTGTGAGAAAGTTATCTCTGGAGGTCATGACATCTGACAATGGAAGAAAATAACCAGAAGAGACATGTTTTTCCTCCCATTTAGGACAGGCACACACTCAGGCCCATTCTGAGATGGCTACTGAACTTCAGCTGGGAAATATTGCTTTCAGGGATTAAAAACAAAGATTTTCTGCTGAGACTTCTCCCTTCAGATTCATTTCTAGATTGGGTCAGAGTATTCCTCAATTCACACTGAATTTGATGCACAAAGAGTGAAAAACAGAATGAAAGAGAGATTGCAGATCATCTCCTCCAGCACGCCTCTGAATGCTCAGATTGAACTTGAAGAATTAGGAAGAACCGCACAATCCATCAGATGACCAGGAATCACCACAGGAGCCCAAGGAATATGAGAAAGCAAGAAAATATCTCTCCTCCAAGGGGAAAAAATAACTCATCTTCATCCACAGACAGTACAATGGAACTCACAGAAATGTCAGATAAAGAATTTAGAATAGTGACAGAGCTAACAGAGATGTAAGAGAAGAGAGACAATGAATTCCAGAAGACACAGAAGAAAAGAGCTGACTATTTCCAGGAGGTGAGAAAGTTCTTCCCGATCTGAAAGAGGAAATATACACCATAAGAAAGAATCAAACGGAGCTGTTAGAAATGAAGGCTGTAATACAGGAAATCAAAACCTCTCTTGAAAGTATTAAAAGTAGACTAAATCATACAGAGGGTTGAATCTCAGATGTGGAAGACGGAATCACTGGCCTAGATAAATACACCACGAAGACTGAGAAAATAGCCCCCAAAAATGAGAATAAGATATGAGAAATACTAGATACCATTAAATGTCCAAACATCTGGATAATTGGTATCCCAGAAGGTGAAGAGACTAATAAGCACATTGATAATTATTCTATGAAATTCTGAAAGAAAACTTTCCAAACCTAAAGAGGCATTCAAAAATCCAGTCCCAAGGAATACAAGGGACCCCCAATAGAATCAACCCAAAAAGATCTTCTCCAACGCACATCACAGGCAGATTGACCAAAACCACAGACAAAGACAAGATACTGAAACTGGCAAGAGAGAAATGTCAAGTTACCTAGAAAGGATATCCCATCAGGCTAACAGCAGACCTCTCATCAGAAACAACGCGAGCAAGGAAAGAATGGGGAAATATATTCAAAGTGTTAAGGGAAAAACAATTTCGATCAAGAATACTGTACCCAGCAAGAATAACCTTCCTATGGAAAGAAAAGACAAGAATATTCTCAGATAAACAAAACCTGAAGGAATTTACCAGCACCAGACCAGATCTCCAAGAAGTTTTGAAGGGAGTGCTACACCAGGAAAATGAAATACAAACACACAGAATTAAGAGTTCAATAACAACTAAGAAAGTGG